AAATATAGAATATATCACACGAGTCCGGAAAGTGAAACAAATCATCCCCAAGTACACTTTTATTTCCGTTCCTTTCCAATTTCTTGCTTCAAATTAAAAGTACCAGTTTGTGTCAAAAATTCACAGTCCAACATTACAGCCTGTATAATGCGAATCATCTACGTACGTGCACGTTTAATATTCGATGGCAAGTTTCGCCTCGAACTTTCACTCTCAACCTTAATTACAGAAACTTAAAAACTCCCGCTGCGAAACTTCCGTCGAATTACCAACGGCGAACGCGTAAATTCAACAATCAAAAATTAATTCAACTTTGGTAGTACACGTAGATACGCGTATACACACACATACACACACGCGCGCGCGCGGATTGGATATCTCTCGCTGGTGGATTCACGTTGCAAAGTCAAACAAGCCGGTAGTTGAACGTCAATAGCCGTGATCCGCTTCATTTCCTTGAGGAAATAATCGGCGAGAACGAGCGCGGCGCGGCGGGTTTAATTGAGATTCAAAGATGGCCACGTATTTACTATCGCGTACTTCAACAGCAGCGAGGATCGTTTGTTTACGAGGCCTTTTATCGGAGGAAGGCCCCCGCGTTGCCTGGCTTTGTTATCACAGCTTCTTTCGTTCCATAACCGTCCAAAGGGATTCGCCGCGATGATGTACGAGCTGGCTTATGGAGAAAAGCCCTTTTTTTCCCCTCGTTACTTGAAAGTGCTCCGCCCAACTTCCATAATAATTCTTTCCCAAATATCGTTACCGTAGCCAGCGAACGCTCGCCTCCTCCTCGGGTGTCGATCTCCACCGCGCCGAATGAAATGAAATATGCAACACAGGTACACACGAGAAACCTCTGTTTACCCCCATTTGTTAGTATTTTTACGTATCTTTGCATCTTATTTTTACGGCAGTTACGTTAAGCTCGATCTGTTTATCATTAGACGTTAGATGTTTTCACAAACGTGAAACAAAGAAACGAAGAAGTCGAGCAGAGATTCGTTTTATAACCGGTGCTGCGTTTTGCATATTTTCTTCAGAATGAATTCAACTTAACATTAAAAAGATACAACTTTTAATTTACATTTAGATGTATTATTACATGATTTTAAGATGTTAGCTGGGTAAAGTTGTACGCATTTTTAGTAAATTAGTAAGAACAAGAAATCTATTTTCGAATTTGCCGTTTCGGAAGTTCAACACGCACGTCACGTACGTACACACATGGATATTTGAAAAAGAAACGTTGTTTTTATGCACAATCTTATTGTCAAAAAAAAAA